CCATTCAAACCATCACATTTTAACTCAGGCAAAGATGCATATAAAATATTGTCACTAATTATGCCATGTGTCCATTTGTTATTCAGTCACCACATAGAAAATGAAATACGTAAAAGAAAGGCTGAGATTGAGTTATTTTATTAGTCCCAGTAACTGATGAAAGCCTTGGAATATAGTCCAAGTTTAGTGTTTATCATAAGCTCCATCATAACTCTTAAAATTACATTCATTATTTCTTTGTCTAGGATGCATTGAGGATTTTAGTACTGTTTCATTTATCATTTGGGGCTTTATATAAGTCAACTGGCTTTATCTTAAGATCTTAAGAAACAGTGAGGCAAACTGATTTCAGTTAAGCTGAATTGAATTGGTTAAATAATTTCCAGACAAGGAATGGGAAGGAAATACTATGAAACCTATAAACCTGAGGATAATAATTAAAGACAATCAATGTGTTCTGATTCTCCCCTTTCTGCTCAAAGCTATTTCAGTTTAGCTATATGCTCTGTAGTGAAGATGATCATTTCCTAAACAACAGGTTCATATTAATTATAGTAAATGTGTGATCTTTGTTCCTGTCAGCTTTTCAAGGGAGCTTTACCATAAGAACAGAGCTCAAGTTTTTTCACTTATCTGGAGCATTTTTCTTGTGTTCTTGCGTCCCAACTCCATGGTTTTTGTGGATCTATCTTACATTTGGACTTTTAAAAGATTCTCTTGCCTATCATTTTAAGTACAAAAGTTTATGTTGTTCTGGGGTTACCTTTTTGTTTTCTGTAAATTAGGATTGTAGCCATTTAAATTTATCACTGAGCTAAATCCACCATTCCTTGAGTTATCTCTTTTGAAAATTATATGCTATTAATCATTATATTTGCATAGAAGAATAATGGTAAATGATTTCAATATGTATTCATTACTATATATATTGATCTTCTAAAATGTAGCATGCTAGTATGTAACAAAATTTGAAGTTATAGTATGTTCTAAAAAATTCATTTTTTCTAGGCCAAATTTTGTCTGACAATTCTAACCTAATGTATTATTTATTTTCCTTAAAGTGATATCCCTGGTGTTCTAGTTTGCTTTCAACTGGTGTGACAGAACACTCTGACCATATCAACTTGGGGAGGAAAGGGACTATTTGGCTTATATCTCCCAGGTCATCAGGGAGTCCAAGTTAGTAACTCAGGGCAGGAACCTGGAGGAAGGAGCTGACATACAGACCATGGAGGAATGCTGCCCACTACTGGCTTGCTCCCCTGGTCCACGCTCAGACTGCTTTCTTATACAATACAGAACAACTTTCCCAGGGGTGGCACTGCCCACAGTGGTCTGGGCCCTCCCACATCACTCAAAAATCAAGAAAATATACCACAGATAGGGCCACAGGCCAGTCCAATGGAGATATTCTCCAGTTGAGGCTCCCTCTACCTAGTTGACAATTGGAGCGATCCAGCAAATTTACCCCTTATCAACTTGACACAGAAGCTCATTACTATTACCACAACCTTTCCATTTCTTGTCCCTAAGATATGATGTTAGCACTATCAAAACATGAGACAGTATAACCTTAAAAGTCCCACAGTCACTAAAAAATCCAAACACTTAAAAGTTCTCAGTCTCTTTTCAAAGTCTCTCAACTGTGGGTTCTTGTAAAATCCAAAACAAGTACTGTCTTATTTCAAAGGGAAGCAAAGTCAAAGTCCAGCAAAGTAGCTCAAGGTTGAACACCTGTGATTCACTCATGATCTGGCAGCTCCACTTCTCTGACTCTGCTGTCCACAGCACACAGTTCATCTCACAGACACACAGGCCCACTCCATTCCCTACCTGCTGCTGCCCTTGATAGTCATCCTGGTCTTGGCATCTCTGAAAAGCTGGGCTCTCCATTGAAACTGAGACTGCACCCTCACCAATGGGCTCTTCTGGCCTCACAGGGCACAAAGCCTCAGATTTTCTCCATGACCCCTTCAGTCATGGGGTCCTCACTGCAAATGAGGTTTTACTTTCGCCAGTGGTCTTTCCTGGCCTCTCTGGGTGCCAAACCTCAGCTGCTCTCTGTGACCCCTTCATGCTTTCAACACCAGAACCATGCAGGATACCCTTATACATTATCAAGCCCTGCTTCCAGTTTGAGATAGAGGCTCAGGCCACTGTCTCAAAATCTTACTTCCCACAAGATTTTGCCACTGACTCTGGAGTCTTGTTACTCACAGCCCCAACTAACCAGCATCTCATGTCCCAGTAAAACAAAAGTTTCACGTCAGTGGTTCTGGTCTTTTCTTAATCACAACTAATTCTTCAGCCCAAGCTGACTAGAACCCACAGGTTCTCAGGTCAAGATAGCACACAAGCAGCCCTGATAATCTCTGCTTCCCTTTGAAGCTTCATAAGCCAGGCCTCCATCCTCTATAACTCTTTCAGCATAACTGTTCTAAGCTCCACAGCAACAAACTCTAAAATCTCAATGGCTTTTCTAGGCCAAAGTTCCAAACACTTCCACAATCCTCACCCAAACACCAAATTCAGGTCTGTCACAGCAATACCCCATGATCCTGGTACCAATTTCTGTTCTAGGTTGCTTTCAATTGCTGAAGCAAAACACTCTGACCTATACCAGCTGGGGAGGAAAGGGTTTATTTAGCTTACGTCTCCCAAGTCACAGTTCATCAGGAGCCCAAGGTAGGAAACTCAGGACAGGAACCTGGAGGCAGGAGCTGGAGCACAGGCCGTGGAGGAACGCTGTTTACTGGCTTGCTCCTCTGTTCATGTTCAGCCTGCTTTTTCATACAGTATAGAACCTTCCCAGGGATGGCACCGTCCATGGTCAACCGGGCCCTCCCACATCATTCAAAAATCAAGAAAATACCCCACAGACATGGCCACAGGCCAGTTCAATAGAGGAAATTCCCCAATTGAGGGTTCCTCTACCCTGGTGTGTCAAGTTGACAACTAAAGCTATGCAGTATACCTAGTTTCAGATGAAATTAATCTTAAGGAGGAAATCTTAAAGCAAGTCATTTATACATTGTCAGCTTGCATAAAACAGTGTAGACTTTTATCAAACCTGAGTTTGGTAATTAAGTTGTACTGCTATTTTTTGATTCTGTAAGAAAGAAAATACTGTCCACTAATGCAAATCACAGTCCTTTCTTAACCTTTTGTGAAACCCAAGATAGCTTTTATAAAATTAATTAAACATATGTCATCTTAATAATTTTAATTATTCCTGA